AGATGTGGATGTGAACAAACTTCTCAGGAGGTACTTGCTTATTAAAAACCAGCTCAGTATAAGTGCATTATTTATTGTGAACATTTAAGGTAATCCCAGGACTCAGTGTGGTTCTGTAATAAGAGGTTGCTGCATGTCATAGCTGATTTATTTTGTTTTTTCCCAGTTAACTTGAGGGAAGGTGCAGTTCTGGTAGAAAAGCTGTCCTCTAGGTCATTTATAGCAAAGAGAATAATGTGTTGATACTGGGTGTTGTGAAGCCATCCGAGTTCAAAGGTGCTCATTTTGACAGAAAAGATAAAAGTAAATACCATCATTTACTGATAAAACAAAATGCCCTTTTGTTTGGCAGAATGCCAAGAAGAATTTTTAGATCACCTAATGAAAAATATAATGGTATTTTAACTTTTCTTCTTGTTTCTCCTTTTGAAATTATGGCTTTTTAAACACAGGCAGGTAAATATAATATTTCCTTCAAAGACATTTTTCTCTTCTTGAGACAATTTCCTCAACCAATTTCCAACTTTTGTTACAGTCCCTGCAAGTATTTTATTTTTTTAATTAACTGATATTTCTGCTATGGAATTAAAACTCATAGTAAATGTGACACACCTGGGAGAAAATATTTTCAGCATAAAGCTGCCTAAGTTTTCAGTTCGTACTGTACTAATTGCTTGTACAAAAACAATGCTTATTTTTCTTGAGAGAGCAAATCATAGTAATGGGAATAATAACAATGGGAATTTCAGGTGAAAAAAAAAATTTTAAAAACTGTTTTCAAAAGAGAGTGTTTATATTCTATACTAATTATTTTTCCCCAAAACCCTGCATTTTTTTGTTTTTGCCCTTGAATCAGCAGCAGTGGGACCACCCAAGAAAGAGTTTGAATCAGAGTCACTTCAGTGAGTCAATCAAACTACTGCAAGTCACAGAAGCAGAGGATCCAGCCCAGAGTGCTCAGCTGCTGTAGCAGCTTTCCCAAGGGTACAGACCCTGGGATTATCTGCTGCTCTTTGCTGTGCTGCTGCTCCTGGCTCACTCCCACCAGTGCCTGCAGCTCCAAGAGGAGTCAGTGCTGTTCACATGGGGGACTTTGCCAGAATAAAACTGGCCCTGCCACGATTCTCCTCATTCCCTCAGTGGGAAGAGGACTGGCCCAACTGGTAAGGACCATTCTTAGCATTTAAAATACCTCACTAATTTACAATGCTGCAAGAAACAGCGAAGAGGTATGAAACTCTGAGGATATTAAATCCTTTCGCTAAAATGATAAGAGAACTGTTGTGATATGTAACAGAACAAATGGTGACCCCGACGTGATTTGGGCCCCATGGATTTAAATACTAAACTATAATGATGTTAGAATTCTTGCTATATAAGACAACACTCATGTAGAAAAGAGATTTTCAAGGGATTTTCCTCCAAATATGGCAGAAAGATACAGAAAGGAGGTAAAATTCTAGCCGATATTGTTTAATATGGAGTTAATCCTGCTGCCTGTGAGCTTTGCTTATGGTCTGCCGTGGGTAGGACAGGAAACTGCTGGTTCCCATTTGGTTTTGTATAACACAAATAATGCCATAGATCACCATCAGAACTCCTCTTAGAAATCTCTTTTTCAGGTTGTAGACCACAGGTTAATTATTCATCCCTCATGTGGAAGTCATCCTGTGTTTACCCTACTTTTGTTGCTCTTTTAATGAAAATTTTCCCGTTCTGCTATGAAGTTTGGAAAGAGGGGCCACAACTGCCTGAATTATTCAAAATACTGGTGTTCTCTGGGTATACACAGCAACAGAATGATGTTCTCTGGGTTTTTTTTCCCTCTGTTCTTTTTCTAGCAATATATATTTTTTGCTTTATTGATTGCCTCCCAGTAGAAGTGAAAGAAATGGGTGTGCTTACTCTAAGGCACAGCAAGAGTCAATATAAGTGATGTCTAATTTCTCCAACATCCTTGGAGAAATCTTTCCTTAACATCAAATATGAATAATGTGGTTTTTCTTTTCTTATCCAAGACAGATTTGGGTAGAGTTAACTTACTGTGTTTACTTTGGAATGGGGAGAGTTTTAGAGAGCATTTCAGGAGGTGCTCTTCAGTTTGAGCATAAGCACTAATTGAAAATTATTTTATTTTTTCCTGGAGACTGCTGGTCATTTTTTTCTTGCTTTCAGGGATGGCAGATGAGACATCAGAGAAATGCTGCTGCATTAGGTACTGCATTTCCTGCATTTTGTTCCTCTTGGCACCATCAAAGAGCATATCTCCTTTTTTTTTGCATTTTCAAAGCAAAATTTTGCTAAACAAAGTGTCATGGGGGTATCTCAGCCCAGCCAGTCCTCTCTCACTCATGAACACTGCAGGGCTTTGTTACAGACATCTTTTATGAAAAATCCTTTCCTTAGGATTTTTCCTCCTGAGAAGCTGGGAGGCCTCAGGAGCAAAATGTAAACATTGATTATCTGCTGCTGTGGAATGCAACAGGTGCATCTGTGATTGGCCCATGTTGGATGTTTGTAATTAATGGCCAGTCACAGTGAACTGGCTTGGACAGAGAGCTGAGCCACAAACCTTTGTTATCATTCTTTCTTTTTCTATTCTTAGCTAGCCTTCTGATGAAATCCTTTCTTCTATTCTTTTAGTATAGTTTTAATATAATAAATATTATAAAATAATAAATCAAGCCTTCTGAAACATGGAGTCAGATCCTCATCTCTTCCCTCATCCTAAGACCCCTGTGAACAGGGTCACAGAGCTTTTCACCTCTGTGCTCTGAAGATGACTGGTTTTGTGCCATCCCTGCTCCAAGTGGAAGCTGGAATATCAGCTCATCCACCACTGCTCAATTGATGCACTTACAAGTTCGGGCAGTTTTAGAAAACTGCTGGCAGCAGATGCTTGGCTGGTCTGGAGCATCTTCAGCGATCCTGTGAAACTCTGCACCAGCTGAGGATGTGCTCCTGGTTGTGCAGCTGGGACTAAAACTGCACTGAAAGCAGTTGAACTTTCCCCACTGATCATTTAGAAGGGATCTTGATGCTTTCAGGCTTGTGTTTTTCAGGACTTGTAGTGGTAACATCTGGTTCGTTTAATCAAAACAAATCATCAGATGGAAAACATTGTACCTGACATAAACAAAGACTTGCTTCATGGCTCATACCTCAAAAAAATTGAACCTACAAAATTAGCCATGCTAAAGGGCCTTAAAAATGTATCAACTTTCTCCATGAGCAGTATATCCTTCAAGCCAGTGCATTAACATGGGTTCTATGAACAAAAATCTGTTTTTCTAAGTGACTCGAGCATCTTGCTGCTGTTTTGTATGTAAGACAAAAAGGGGCACAGCAGTTTCTACATAGTCTGTTGTAAGAACATCTTATGAAGTGTCTGTGCCTCTGGTTTTGTCAGATCACATTAATTAGCAGTGAAAATCACCCTCAAAAAGATCTGTGCAAATGCTTTGTTCTGACTACCACATGTACTGGTGGTATTTGTGGGATTCCTCGCTTTAATCTTGGGATTTATAGCCCTTCATGTTTAGGTATTTTTTGCTGAAATTTTCAATGGATGCTTTCCCTGTGAAGAAGTGTCAGAAAATCATGAATGAATCTTTAGGTGGTTACATTACTTTACAACAGCAGTAGGAAGAGTGATACCAATAATTCTAGGCTGAAAATAAAGCCCCAGCTACATGGGACTTTCCACCTTTTCATGGTTACCTTTTGCCACATGGTTGTTACACATACCTGTGACAAATTGCTGGGTCCTGAAGGTTTTCACCAAATACTACTTTTTAAAATTTTATTTTATTTTTAAAATTTATTTCAAAGTAGGTTTCATTATTTTAAATGCATGTGTTTCTCAATGGCTCATTTAGGAAAGAAAGAATGCCACTCAGCTTCACAGAGTACTTAGTGATTATGCACTCTGAATTTACAGTTCATAGCAAATAGATGATCTACTTACAGGAGAAGCATTCTCAAGAGTCCTGTAAGTAATGAAGTCAAGGAACCGTGTGTGCTCATAAATAGAAAAATAGGTAAAATCTGCTGAACAGAAATCATTAACATTTCTGTTCACAAAGATAAACTAGAAGGAAAATCAATAGACAGGACAGTTGTAGTAAAATATTGTTCTAAACTATCTATCAGGTAATAGTTTCCATGGCAGTTTTATGAGCCTCTTCTGGGGAACTTGAAGCTCGGGTGTGTTTTATTTTGTTTTTAAAAAAGCATAAAATCCCATCAAAAAGGAAGGGACAAGACACCATGGGGATGCTTTAGTATCCATCAGAACCACTGGAAAATGAGTAATTTGCATTCAGGGGGTGTGGAGCATCTGTGTTTTATGGCTCAGAGAGAGTTGGAGGATCATGGGCTGGCAGGGGCATGCAGGCTGAAGCTGAGAGCCTCTTAAACAGTGCTAACACTGAAGACATCAAACTGGGAAGTGGAAGGACATGTAATGCACTCCCTTCTAACAATACTTAAGGAATGCAGGAGGTATTCCTTTCCCAGATGCAATTTCTAAATATAAAGATTCAAAGTGTCTTAATATTGAGGTGTACCCTCACAGAGTTAAAGGTGGTTGAATAGGAGCAGATAAATTGTAAGGCTGAAGAACTGCAGGTGTCTTGGTGGAAACCTTATAACTGCAAGTTATGTCTGATTTTATGCCGCTGTACAACTGCTAATTCAAGATCCATTATCCCACCTATGATGCCATAATTACTGCTGGTCTTGAAGCCTGCAGCTCTCTGGTTCCAAATACCCCAAATATCCCTTGGCATGCCTCTGCTGTAGCATTTTCTCTTCCACTGAATCTCTGAAGAGCTGAAAATCTCAAGACACAAGAAAAAAGGCTTGCAACTCAGTATAAACACTAATACCTCCCTCCTCCCACACACAGTGGCTGAGCTTTGTCAAAGGGTACTGAATAAAATCTGTAACTTGATTTTATTTGGTAACTTGCAGTTCCACTCTCCAAGGGACTTATTTAAACTAACAGGAGGGCTAACCTGGCTTCTGGAATTGCCCAATGTAGCTTTCACTGCAGATTGTCCAAAGGGTTTGTCAGCACCATCAGTTTACTAGGATTTTGCCTTTTTCATAAAAGCCTTTTGTCTTGAGACTGTCAGACTGACATCAGTCTACTGGAACAAACAGGTAAAATTAAAACAAGAGAGAAGCTCCTGGCTGCAAAGTTGAAAAGGTTGTTACAAAAGGAAGGCATAAAGTAGGGAAATGAAAAGTGTAAAATGCAGCTGAAAGCAATCTTTTATCCAAAGCACCACAGAAGACTGTGACTGATCTTAGATTCCGTAGCTGAGGGCTGATGCACCAAGCTGGTCAGAGAGCTGCCTTTGGGAGCAGGTGTGTGGAATGACTTTGGGAAGGAAACAGCTCAGTCCTGCTCCTCCTGGGCACTTGGTCTCACACAGGTCTCTGGGAGTCTGTTCCTGTCCAAAAAAGAAAATTGCTTTGTTAATGAACATTTCTACTTGTATTTGCCCCATTTCTTTTCTCTAATCTTCTGATTTATTAAATTCCCCTGTACTAGAGAGACTTATCTAAATATGCATTGCCATTTTAGTCCTCACTTAGCATGTTTCCTTGGGCCCAAAGTATTTTTGTACTCCACACATTTTTGCTGTTTGAATGACCTTATTTTAAATTTATTAGGTTTTCTATTTCTTTCTTGGCTGACAAAGTGTTATGACCCAGCCCTGAAGGCGAAGGTAGCTGAGAACTACAGAGATGAATGACTGGAGTTGCCACAGGGCTATAAATCTCTTGGATAACTGGTCTGGGACATGCACAGACTGTGTGAGGTCCTTTCAAAATCAAAACAGCAAAGAGAAAAATCTGGAGAAGACATCATGAAGCAGCAAACCAGAGGGTCTTTTCTGAAATAGGTAAATGAACATATATCTAAACTTTCTGAAGAATCAATGGTTGCTCCAACAGTAAGCAAGGATGAGTCCTTTCCTCACCAGATTTCTGTTTTAAAGGATTGAGAGAAGGCTAACTGTAAGTACCAGACTCTACTGTTTTTTTTTTCTTCTCACTTTACTGTGAAATTATGCTGAAGCTAATTGCCTCTCTGAGGCTAATTGCCTCTGCTGCATGTGGTTAAAAAAGATTCATCTTGGGTTTAGCTCATGCTTTCTATAATTCCTTTAACACAGACTTCTCATCCAATTCTTCAGTGCTCTTTCTCTAGGGAAATAGACAAAAACAACCCCAAAATAATTCGTCTGCAGCCTATTTGAGTTTCTTAGGGTATCAACCAGTCTTTGGAGGTGCTCCTTTGCTACTTTGGAGAGATTAAGAGTAGTGTTCCCAACATGATATATATTGTGCTGTGATCTGTTTCATGTGCCTCAAAAGATACAGCTGGAAAGTAGATGGCTCAGAAAACTCATCTGTGAGGCAAAGATTCAGCTTTTCAGAGTGAAACTCCAGCATCTCAATTCATCAAACACATATTTTGTGTAGGCCACCATCAAATTTTAGATGGTTTGTGGCTGCATTTTGGATCTATTTTGCCATGACCAGTTACATTGGAATTCAGTTAGGATTAGTCACACCACCTCTCCCAGTAGAAAAATAGTCCTACTGAAACCTTTTACCAGCACTCTTCCAGTTCACACGAGCTACCTGACTGCAGAACTGTGACCTGTGTTTCTGTGAGCAATACATTTCTGGTTTGCTTTTGTTAGGCTTTTGATTTTTTTTTGTTTGCAGGCAGATGTTTAAGAGACATCGATGTGACAGCTTCCAAGTGAAAGATATTGTTGTTTTTTTTCCCCCTGTCCCTTGTAAATGCCCTGCTCTCCCTGTTTATTTGAAGGCATGAGGCAAATTTCAAAGGCACAGCCAGCAGGGAAATGCTGCATTTTTCATCTGGGTGGTACATATAGAAAGTGAGAGACTGCTGAGTCAGGCACACTTGGCTGTTTGTTGCTGCCTAAAATCATTAGCAGTATGAGATTATACAAAGCACCTGCTGAAAGTTCAGAAGAGCTTTTGTGCAACCTTGGAGAATGTTATTAAAGGTAGACTTGTAGTCTGTATCCTACACAAAAATATAAACAGTTTCATTTTCTGAGTGCTTTTATGGCTTGACTAGCGAAGGTGGGAAGGTAGCATGATATTCCATGGCTTGCCATGAGCCTTTCAGATTGCCCAATGTGATCTTTGAAACACATGGCGAAAAGGAGGAGAGGAATCATTCCTGTTGTTGTTACATAGAGAGGCAGAGAGCAGTCACATCCTTTATTGCTTTAAAATCCACTTTGTTCATCTTGGTGGGTGTGGGAGGCAGTGTTCAACCAACACTACAGCTTTGAAGTGCTTTGCTGCCTGGGGTACTCAGATGTGCTATCCTGAGCATCAAGGTCCTCTGTGTAATGCAGGGGGGGAGCTGGGTGCATGAAGAGTCACTGCTTTAAAAGCTTAATTTCACCAGCAAGAAGCGTTGGACTGGAGGATATGGCTGAAGCCCTGCTCCTTTCAGAAGCAAAGTTACCAAGTTTTACTGCAGAAGAGCATCTGTCTCCAGGCTGCTTTACTTCAGGTATGAGAGTAGAGGAAAACACCCAATGAAACACTGATGCAAAAGTAAGAAATGATCATAAAACCTTTTATTCATTTCCCCCAAAGTTAGAGCATTTCCTTCAATTTTGCTCTAGCTGTCCTGTTGCTTGGCAGTGCCAGGTTCATGAGTCACACCAGCCTGAAGGTTTTTCACACTGCTTTAACTTTAAGTAGTTAATAATTTATTGGGCTGGAGTGGAAAAAATTACAACTGCAGTCTAATGACTTGGGGGTCTCTCTGGGAGAAGTATGAAGTGGGTTTCTGCCTGCACTTCGCTATGTACTTAGCATTATGCATTCATTGAAACAAGCTCTTGCTGGGTCAGCTCCTCCCAAGGTGACTACTGAGATCACCAAGATGTGGCTGTGCATGCTTGTGTTTATCCACTCTTTCTCTCCAAACTACACTCCTCATGGAAAGTGGAACAGTTAATAGTGTAAAGCTTATCAAACTGCTACTTTTGAAATTTTACATGATCTGGTACTCTGAGTCTTTCTTTTGGTGGTAGAAGGTACAGGTTCCCACCAAGAGGAAGGATGGAGATTTGCTGTTTGTATCTTGTGAATGAATGGAGGAGACTCTTGTTCCTCAGTTTACTTTGCAACCCAACTGAATATTTGTACTCTGAAAACCTGCATTGTCATGGAGGAAAGGGAAACTGCACCAATCAGCCGTAGTGGTTCATTTGGAAACAGCCCATCTTAAAGCCTAGCCTTAATTTCTGAAGTGCTAATTGGTCTCTCAAATATTATTACTTTTATAACTTAACCACTTTGTGAGTAGCCAAAATAAATGGTGGTGTTTATGATACCTTTTGAAATCATCACATAGTTTATGATAAAATATGAATTCCTTCCTGTTTTCAAATCTGACTCATTCAAGAGAAATTCAGATCTTTTGTGCCGTGAAATTGTAAAACCTTTCGACTACTATGTCCAAAATGAAGTAGGAAAAAAAATATTTAAAATTACTTCCTTTTGTACTTTAGGAGTGTTGTTTTAAGTCTTGCTTTTCTGTGAAATGGCAGCCCCGAGCAGAAGGCTGTGCATTCACTTGCTGTTGGCATGTTTCAGCTGCGTCCTTCCAGCTCCTGCAGTTGCCAAAAACAATCAAAATGCCATGGATGCCGTCCCAGGAGGGTTCTTCAGAGGAGAGGGACTTCCTGTGGCGAAGAATCAAGGCTTTTATCCTGCTGTCTGCTCTTGCTGTGGGAGGTGTTTGGGGAAGGAAAGGTCTGCAGCCCAAGCGCGTGCCAGCCCTGCCAGTCCCGCTGCTGGAGCAGGCTGGCGGAGCGGCGAGCGCTCAGGTGTGAGCTGGAGCAGCTCCTCAGTGCCTCCTGCTTTGTGCCAGGCCTTGGGACAGTTCCCAGCCTTTCCCAGAAGGCAAACAGGCTGAATTCCCTCGAGTTTGGCACGGCATCATGACGGCTGCGTTTGAGAGCGCTTTCAGTGCTCAATAGCAATTTTCCGGTGCTGTGAACCTGACACTGCCTTACCTTGCACATTCCATTGTCCTGGCTCCTGCTGAAGTGCCCTGTCACTCCTGGAAGAGACTGTGCATGCATTTGTAGTCACTGTGTGTGTCAAACACTTTTGAAAGACTTTCAGTCTTTGTGTATTCCAGTCTGAATCAGATTTTGGATGGTCAGGAGTGTAATGTAAGCAAGCATTTGTAACTAGGAATGATGGAGGTGCTAAACAGAGAAAATGGGAAAAAATTACCATGCCTAGAAAAACAAGGTAAGAGTATCATGAGACAAGCCTGGAAGAGAAAACAGCTAAGGATAAGGCCAAAGAAAACCCAAAATAACACAATACCACCACCAAGAAAACAAGCAAACAAAAATCAAACCCTGAAAACCCAAAGTCTAGGAGAAAAGGAATACATGGCAAGCTAAAGTGATTTTATTTTTTTTCCCTTTGTACCTAGAGAGTGCTTTTTCAGTGCTCACTAAAGAAGTTGGTACAGGCTCATTGTGCAGTCTTTGAGCTCCTTCTGGAACACAGGGCTTCAGTTCAAGTCAGTCACTCATGTCAAATATATCACTTAAATTTGGAAGTTAGCATATCACTGCTAAAATCAGGGAATGTGTTTTAAAGAGGTTTTTGGCTTAATTAGAGATTAGAAAGTTCCTCCTAAATGTTTTCTTTTGTATAGACACATAAGAATCTTCTGTTTTAGCACATTATTTAACCAATAAATTATTGTCTGTGGGATTGTACAATTGAGAAGATATTCCAGGAACTGGCACAGCATGTCTGATGGAAATAGTCATATTTCAATATCCTGACTTTGTGTCTGAGAGAATTTACTTTCTTCTGCCTCTCTTCTAGTTAAAATTTATCCTTTTCCTTCTAGATCCAATGAGGAAATGTCTGACAAAAGTCTGCTAATCTCCTTTCCAAACATTGCATCATGTCACATTCTTTGTATAAGGTATCTTCTTAAAACTTTGAAGTATCCAAGAACTATTCCTTTCTCATTTTGCATATGGGCAATTGAAGCAGAAGTAAGAACTACAATCTAGTGTCTACAGAGAGCTAGGTTCCCAGCTTGAAAGCCACCCAGTCAATCTTTTTTTTCAAGAAATGGAGAAGAGAGATACTTCAAATTACCTTAGCATGCTGATGTCACCTTGCCAGTAAAAGCTTTTTTCCCTATAAGGTAGTTTTAGAGATAAAAAGTACAAAAAATTGGAGGCAGGGGGAAGCACAGACTAGCCAAAGTTCTTTTAAATATAATAGAATTCTAGCTGGACTGGTCTTAAATTCATTGTTCACTGAAAAGAAATGTGCTTATCAGATTGTTAAGTCAGGTTTTTTTGGTCATTCTCATTTATATGGAATTATCCAGGGTACAGACAAATAGATATTAATGGGCTGTGAGGGTCACTGTTATTCTGCTCTGAATGCCAAGTTGTGCTGGATCCTTTTCATTTCTCCTGCACTTACACAGCTGTGAGTTATCTAGATTTCTATTTTCTACTGTCTTTTTCCAGCTGATCCTTTTTAACATACAGTTGTTTGTTTGCTTTCAAGTGCAGAATAAATGTCAATTAGTTTCTTGTCTGTTTTGTGACTGACCCTTGAATCTCTGGGGGGTAAAATCCAGGTAGCTCTGCTGGTTGTGCTCATCTGAAAATGGAGATTCTGCCTTATATTATTTAGCTGTTTTACACTGGCCAACTTTGAATCCAGTGAAAGGGTCTGCATGAGAACAGAGCCCAGTGAGTACAGCAGAACAGGGAGGGATTAAGCACATTTGTCACCATTACCTTTGTAGTCTCTCCCAGTAAACAGAGAATTCCTTTCAGTCACGTTCCTGCTGGTTTCCCGGTGTCCACTTTCATTCTGAGATGAAAAGAATCCAATTTGATTTTCTCTCTCAGATCTACATATTGTCACTGCTCTGCCCTTATTGTACTTTTTACCAGCTCATTCTTGCTAATATGCTCGTACAAAATTTCTCATAAATGTTTAATTCCTAACAATAGAGTACCGGAATAATTTCCATGGTACAGAAATGTTCTGCTGACCAACTTACCGGAGTAAAAATGCTAATATGACCCTTGGGTCAGTCACACAGCCGTCTTTAATGTAAATTTAATACAGTGATTCCCCGGGAGATGGAAGATGGCGGGCTTAGCAGAGCTGCACTGAATCAAAGTATCAGTATTTAGCAGCCTCTGGTTACCAGGCTACTGCTCACCTCTGCGACCAGGGGAAGATCATCACAGAAATGCATTTTAAACCTACCCATCAAATGTGCAATTGGATATGTTGTATGAAGAAATCTTTTTGCAGATTTGATGAGGGGTTTAAAAATAATAAAGGACAGGGTAGGAGGAGGCAGGGGCAAAGACAGAAGATACTGGGTTCCAGTGTCCCACTCTCTTCTCCAATTGTTTCTGTGTAAAAAGAACCACAAAAAAACCCCAATCTATACACTTGATATCAAATAAAACATCATATTTTTCATAAGCTGAATAGATGCCTTGGAAAGCAGCCAACGAGGGAATTTTCCACTTGTGCTGCCTTTGCAGGCTCTTTCAAACCTACTGTTAAGCAGCAGGGGCACATACGCACTTCACTCCCTTTTCTATTATGCAGCTATGACACATTAAGCTCCTTGGAATGGTATTCATATTTTATCAGCTCTCCTAACGTCAGTTCTTTATTTATAACTTGCTCTTTTTTCCCTTTTTTTTTCTTCTTTTTTTCCTGTTCCTTTCCAGCCTGTATATCTAGACTTAGTAAAGAAAGAGACCAAAGCAGTTGAAGGAAAAAAAAAAACCCACCCCAAACCCCTCTGTGAATTTAATCATACCTTTGAGGTGAAATGTGTGTTTTCAGTCAGTGTTTAAGAACTCAGCTGATCATTATTTTCTCTTTTCACACACAGCTTGCCATGGCACCCTCTACAGGTCATATCTGATTTGCTTACATTTAATATAGCACTTTTATTTGAAGAATAGCAGATTTTATTCCCTAAAATATCATATTAAATCTGTACCTGCAATCTGCCAAACTGCTGAGGTTTCTGCACAGGAAAGCACTGAGGGTCTGGGCAGACTTGTGCTGATTTGTAAATCAGGCTTGACAAAGGCTTTAGCAAACAATGCTTATATATTGGCAGTCTTGTTTTTATAAGCTCATGTTTTGTGCTACTGAGAAAAGACCCTGATTAATTTATATGTAGATTGCTATCTCATCCTGTTGAAAGTAAGCTGTAATACCAACAGGAGCTGAATTTGCTACCATGACTCTAATAACCTGACCAACTAGTCAAATTTAAAGACCCTGCAAGAACATTTTGTGTAGGTGGAGGAACTGGCAACACTTCTGGTACAATTTCAGCATGTTTGTTTTTTAAATAAGCCCTGTTTTTTTTTCAGAATACAACAGAAACAGCCATCAGATATTTTTCCTATTCTGAAACACTGGTTTTGCTACTCCAGGAAGACCTGTCCTCAGTAAGCCTTTATCTCTCTCTTTCTCTATTTTTTGCTCCTGCCTCTTACTTCCATCAAATATTTTGGCATTTCTTAACCCACGCTTCTACAAGTAAGAAAGCTTTTCTCCCTGGCCCCCACAGGCCAGCCCTGCCTTGACCTGAGCTGTGGCCAGTGAGCCCCAGCCAGAAGTGGTTTTTGGATGCTGGACAAGTGTAAACAGCTCCCAGCACAAGTGCCTTGTGTGTGAATGCAGCCAAAGCATTAACAGCAAGGGGTAGATGAAATAATGTCTGCACACACCCATGGATACCAGCAGAGGATTGGGGTTTTATTGGCAAGGCCATGTCATGGGAAAGGTAGGCAGTGGAGGGAATTGAAAATGCTTTCTTTGCTTTGTGAGCAGGATGTTGATGTTTGCATTATTTGGAAATCTTGGATGTCAGGAGAAAAGGCAGCATCTCAAAGCTGGGAAAAGACACAGAACAGAAAGAGGGATGCTAAAAATTTCAACCCTTCCTATTTGGAGGACACTGCCAAAGGAAAAGTTGTGGAATGCTGGTTAGCTCTGAGTGGATGAAGCATGAATTGTGTTACATCAATGTCCAGGGGCCAGACAGCACACTTGTCTTTCCACCCCTCTCTGTGGGGCAGAGCTGCTGTTCTTGGGGAAGAAAACTGGAGTGAACTGTGATGGCAGCACAGCAGGGCCCTTCTTATGTATTCCCTCAATTTAGCACAGGCATAAACCTAAGGGCTGTGACTCACTGTCTGATGCTTTCTTGAAAAAAGAAAAAAAAAATAGAGATAAAATGAACAAGGTGAAAAATCCTTTGCCTACTGTAAAGATAATCTAAAAAACCATTATTTTAGTAGGACTTTTGTTTCACTTTCCTTCTTTGATACAATGTAATCCATCAAAGATTTCAAGAAGTTTTGAATAGGAAAAATAGAAACATGTTTTAATCTGGTGAATCTGTAGAGAGTCACTGGCTGTAGAATAGCATTGCGGCATGCAAGTGTAGTGCAAAAATATACAACTTTAATTCCATGGTCAAAAAAATAATGCTCTTCCAGTATAGTCTATCAAAAATATTTCTTTGAGATCTCTGCTCTGAATGAGATCCCTCAGGGCTGGGCATTTCTCAAAGCCTTTTGCATCTGCCAAATGTACTGCTAACATTTTCTCACAAAAATGTTGGTGCAAGAACAAGGAGAATTAAAACCTCAAGCTTAGAGAAATGAAAGGAAACCTGGCTTCACTTCAAGGCAGAGTTTTGATCTCGGGTATCATTTTTGATCTAATGTATCATTAGATCTGTTGATTTAGTTAAAACTTACTAGTATATTTCTCAGCTTTCAATTCAGTATTCTTGAACTCTGAAGTTTAGGAAAGAGTTGTGAGAAGGGAATTTGAAGGATATTAACTCATTTAGGTGTAAAGGTTCATAACCTCCTACAGTAATCCTTTCTTTTTATCCTTGCCAGACAGTTTCAGCTGTACACAGCAAGCAAAACTGAATTTGACTCAGAACTGAGGAGGATACCACATTCTTGGTGAGATTATGATAATCCACTGGGAATAGACATTGTAGCAAAATTTCAAAGGAAGAACGCCATAGCCAATGTAAATCCATGGATATTCTTCTGAAATCTGTTGAATTTCTCCCATTTTTCACTGATGTAGCTGGGAACAGAACTTGGCATTTTCCTGGTTTTGCTAGGAAATATAAAATGTCAAGTAGCAATGCAAAAAAATGTCTGCGTCTGTAGAACTTTGGTTTTTTTGCCGACAACTTTGTTTCTTTTCAGTGAATTTTGGTAAGGTTTTAGCCAGAGTTGTTAAAGTAGTCTGCAGAAATAGAGAAGGAAATATGGATCTGAGCTATTGGCTTCTTTAATGTGGGATCAAGCTTCTTTAAAGTCACTCTAATTTGGATGTTGAGATCACAACGCTTATTTGAAGATAATGAGAGTTGTAAATTTGGTAAAAATGCTTTAATTCAAGGATATCTTTTTGTAAAATAAAATGATCTTTCAGACATAAGCATCTTGATCAACCACTTTGCTTCTGCATTTTAAGCATAGAATGAGCCATAAAGAGCTTTGATTTTGGGGCCAGCTAAAGCAATCATTGTGTGTAATTGCCCCTGTTTTACATGTGCATTCTAATTAGCATGTCTGAAATGTCTGAGCTGAAGTGACCTGGAGTAAGCCTAGTTGTGAGTTTAAGAAATTGATGGATAAAATTGCATGATAAAAAAAGCTAATTCTTGAATGCAAATACTTGATTTTTTTAAACTATTTTTATGTGTAAGAAATACAACTTATACTTTTAGCTTGAAGTCTTCTCTGGGAAGTGGAAGCAGAATCCATGAAGTATTTCTGTAAGTTTAAAACGAGATTTAAATAATTTTAAAAGGTTTACAGATTTGAAAGCTATGTTATGTAGGACAATTATAGAGCTCATTAATACAGATGGAATTGGTTTCAAGCTGCAAGACTGAAGCCTGAGGCTTTGTTTCAAATTACCTTAAATGTGGGTTTAAGCTGACAGCAAAAAATGTGCCTAACTTTCTTTGGCAAGGAGGGAGCAAGCAGTCATGTTGCAGAAAGCAACTGTGCATAAAACATAGCAGGAATTTTGTTTTGGTGTCTGAATTATGCTACACTGATCTAAATGCTTCCCCCCTGTAATGGAAACAGTGCCTTGTGCAAGCCTATCATTTCCCACAGGCAGTAATTATAACTGAGAGCAAAAAAAGTTGATAAAAAACACCAAACCAGCAGTATCTTTCTGATTTACATATTGTTTATTTTCTTTTGCTTCTCCTCTTAACCACCTGGTTGGTGGACAGCTTGTAGAAGGGAACACTAAGAGTTAAAAAAAATAAAAATAAGAAGATTGGTGGTGTCAGCTGGTTTGTGCTTTAATGAGAATTTTTTAAAAATCAGAATCCCAGTGTATGGCAAACATGTAAACCAAAAGAAGGGAGGAGAGCAAGAAAATAACTTAAGTGGGACTCTGTGCTGCTATGGCAAGACTGGGTCATGGGAATCATCCTATTTAAATCAAGATTGGCAATGTCTGTGCTGCCCTGCAGAAACAATCATATTGGGAACACAAAACTGATCCCTGAACAGAGAGACCAAGAAAGGAAGCAGAGGGACAATAAGGACAGGAAGCTTGGAAATGAACAAACTTTGAAGGGTGTATCTTTGAGGAGACAGAAACCAACAGGGTTGAAACCCAACAGAGAGTTCAAGAAAGGTGAACACTGAAGCAGGAAGCTGGGGAGTATTTTAATGGAAAAAGTGAACAAATTTCATTAATTTCATTCTGAATGAACATTCACTTTAAAGAAATCTGTTGAGAAACAGCAGTCATTTTTAGCAGGTTCAGGCAGAGGTTTTGGAGGTCTAGCTGAGGCATTAAAGTGTTCCAATAGTAGAAATAGTGAAAGACTGAACACTCACCTCTGAAAAGCAGTACATAAATCCTTCTTGGTGGCTAACTGGCGTAGCACAAAACAGAAAATCTCTAATTTAATTTTCTCTATAACATAGATGGTCTGACATTGTCTTCAATTATGTGTGTTCAAGACCAATAAGAGCACTTGCTTTGCTACTCTTATACCCTTTGATTTAATAAAATGCCTTATATGTGTTTACCTACCAAGCTAAGCCTTTAAAATGAAATCAACTTCTTATATGAGATGAAATCATATCTAATTAGTAATTGAGGTTAGTTTAGTATCACAACAGCTTCAAGTTGGGCCAAGAATGTGTCAGTATGATTCAGTACACATTTTCCATAGCAAGAAAGAAAAAATTGACCTTTTATTTGCCTGGGAACAAAAGCCTTTTTTTTTTTTTTGCCTGATGGTACCATTAGGAAATTGTTTGAGGTAACTTATGGTGTTGTTCTGTATAATCCAAATGTTTAAAAAAATGTACCAATAGTTTTATATGGTTAAGACAAGTAGTTAAACTTTAACCAAGATATTATTTTATAAAATATGTGTTCATTTAATTTTGTTCTCAGTTTTGATCTAAAAGCATGTTGGGTTTTCCAACTGCAGACTTGCCACACTTTTGTACCTCAGTTTTAAAAATGTAGTGGTTGGAATAAAGTTTTGAGAGTTAGTTATACTCTAAATGCTGGATGGTAAGTGTATGTTATTGTTCTGGGATAATCTAAACCAGTTAACAAAATAAGGATATTTATTAGGGAGTCTGTGATCATAAACCAGGAAACACATCATATACTTTGGAGAAAAGCATTTTTCAAGCAGGTAAAAATCTCTTTGAAGATTTTTGCCACCTTTTTTTTAATTAACTTTATGATAGTCTTTACCTTGAAACCTGTTCAGATATTCTTATTGCAGATATTTTTCTCATGAGACAATGAGCAAAGCTGAATGACCTTCTAGAAAATAAGACCTTTTAGGTCACTGCAGTGGTTGCCATGAACAGTATAAAAACCACATTTTCTGAGATTTTGACTGCCTTCTTTTTATGATACACTTCACAAAGGAATTATTATTATTATTATTATTATTATTATTATTATTATTATTATTATTATTATTATTATTATTATTATTAATTTTATTTTTATTTTTATTATTTTGAGTATTGCTTTCTCATCTGCTGAGAACTATTGCAGGTTCTGTACAAGGACTTAAGAAGTTTTTATTAGAATGGGAGACTTTCACACCTCCAGGATGGATGGTGCACCTTCATTGTCATCAGGTTGTAGTACCACCACATTTTCCTCTCTGTAGCTGCCACTAAATGATCTCCCAAGTTGCAGTGGTAATCCTATTTATTGATTATTGTGGAGAAACTGGCTGAATATAATTCCTTTTCTGGTTGAATATAATTAATTCTACTTCTAAGATGGAGGGTCAAGTTCATTTCCTTTTTTTGAGGTACTCAGAATCTCTGTATTGATGGTGCTTTTCAATTATGGATCAGCAGGAATTTAATTAGAATCCTCAAGGCTTTCTGTAGGTCACTAGAGGAAATTTGGAATAAGATACTGGAAACTGCTCTGGGTGGAGAAATCTGAACTTTCCTTAACACCTTCAGAGTAACATTGGTCTCCACTTTTTTCATTCTGACATCTAGCAAGCTTCTAGGAATTCAGTCTACAGCACATTTTAGACTTGAAGAAGCTGGTTTGGAACTTGCACTGCAGAAATTACAGCTCTTGGTAAATATTAGCAACATTATAACATTTAAACAAGGAGTGATTCCCATTCACTGAAGAATGAGAAGAGCCTCTACAGCTTTTTGATATGACACCTTCTTTGTGACCATGAAGCTGCAGCTTGCACTTGAGTTAATTTTAAAATAGAGAGGATTGATACATCAATCTTTCCATCTTTTATACTTTTTTTACACTATAATCTGCATTAATTTCCAGAACATTTTGCTGTGGCTGAATCCTAATTCTTCATCTTCTTCCAAGACCTACCATCTGCTTCAGAATGCATATCAAAGCATGGAATATCTTGGATATAAAATTATGTCATTTTGAGGACTTGCTGAGACATTCTTTGAAGAATTTATTTTACTCTTTCATTAAAAAAGAAAAAAAAATCCTGCATTATGTCCTTATAGAAATGCACCCAGCCCTACTGCACCCAGATATAAAGGAATGAGCTCAGTAGTAATGGATTTTTAAAGGTTCATTTTTTCAAAGGAAAATTCCTGGTGGGCTTCAGCAAACTTAATCTCTTTAATCATATGGCTATCAATAGTCCTCAACTGCTCAGAGATTCTGAAAACTGGTCTTTATTGTCGTTTTTGGCTGTGGTGTTTTCAGCAGAGGCATAACCACATGTGATAGAAAGCGGCATCCTGAAAATAAAAGGAAGGGTGAAAGAAGCCTGCTGTTAATAACTACTATGTAAACTGAATTATGACTTTTAAAACCAGCTATTTTCTGTGTAAGCCATCTTTCCTTGAAAATTATAGTGGAACATGTCAATTTGTTTCATGGTGATTCAGTAACAGAGCTCATCAAACGATGTGTGCTGGAGACAGAGGGAAATAGAGAAAAGTGTTGCTGATAATGATAAAATGAGCCACAGTAAAAGAAAAGCTGGCCTGTCGGCTTTCCACTGAAGTTGAGTGATCTGAAAGTAGGAACCAAGAAAAAGAAAAAGAAAAAAGTGAGATTCATTAAGAGCATTTGTCCTAACCGTGGTATGGTGCACAGAAATGCAACCACAGGAAAAGATCTGTGAGAACAACATGAGAGACAAGACACTGAGAAGGAATGAACATAAAGATTGCTTGGGATTAATGCAAGGGAGAGCAGAAATTTACTAAGGAAAAAAAGTATGAAGCAAGATCCCAAGTGTTGCTTTTACTGGGTGTCTTTTTGGTGAACCTCTGTGTCTTCCAGTGGAGGGAATGATACAAATTCTGGTGCAGTGAAAGAGTTTGCTCTGCAAAGACGGCTTCTTCTAATACTGATGTGAAAAAACATTTCCCACATTAAGGGAAGAGTGGAGGAAATAGAACATAAGGAGTTTACTATTTTT